AATCCTCACCCAAGGACATGTTTCCATTGAATTTTTTAGAAAGATAGGGAGGAAAGAAGGGAGGGAGGGAGGGAGAGAGAGAAACATCAGTTGATTGCCTTCTGTACACACGGCCGACTGGAGATTGAGCACGGTATGATGCTCCAACCAACTGAGCCACATGGCCAGGGCTGCCCCTGTATTTTAATTTAGTTGTTTTTAATTGAATTTTAGAGTTCTTTATGTGTTCTGGATGCAAGACATTTATTTGATATGTGACTTGAAAATATCTTTTTCCAGTCTATGGCTCATTTTCCCATTCTCTTAAAGTGTATTTTGAAAAGCAGTGATTCTGATGTTCCAGTTACCAATTTTTTGTTTTATGGGTCATTCTTTTGTTATATTTAAGAAATCTTTGTCTAATACAAGGTCACAGAGACTTTATGGAAGTTTTATCATTTTACATAAATGCCTATGATCTATTTTAAATTAATTTTTGTAACCAATGTGAAGTATGGATCAAAGATATTTTACTTCCTTATTTTTGCATATGGATATCCATTGTTTCAACATTGTCTGCTGAATTGCCTTTTCAACTTTATTGAAAATCAGCCAACCATATTTTTGTGGGTTCATTTCTGGACTCTACTCAGTCTATTTTCCATTGATCATTTTTCATTTTACATCAATACTGCAGCTTTACTGTAGGTAGTGTAAGTTCCTCAATTCTGATCTTTTTTCCACTGTTTCAGCTCTTCTGGGTCCTTTGCATTTTCATGTATTTTTTAGAATCAGCCTGTGCATTTCTACAAAAAAAAAAAAAGCCTATTTATTTATTTATTTATTGCCATTGCACTAAATCTAGAGATCAATTTGGGAGAGAATTGTCAGTCATTTTAATCACGCTCCTAGGTGGTTTCAAATCCCAGCCACATTGCTTAGAGCTCTGTAATCTTGGGCACTTAATCTTTCTGAGGCTTAATTATTTTTGCCTACAAAATGGAGGTGATTATTTAACTTACCAACACAGTAAAATGAGGAATAAATAAATCAATATTTATCGAGTGCTCTTGCTCTTATTTTCTAATCTCTTTCCCTTAGGGATTTGATTTGTAGTGTAATACAGAAATTTATTTTTTCAGCTTTCAGCCATTATTTACCAGACATTTTAATTTTATATTTGGACAAGAATCAGTAATCCCTCGCTTTACATAAGTGGAACTAAGGTCCCAAGCCAAAAGTGACTTTGTAGAGACTACTCAGGAGCAAGAACAAATGAGAACTTCTAATTTTAATCTTAAATGTTATCATGAGTTGACAAACTCAATTCATTTGTCACATTTATGTGTTGCCTCATAAATGCCAGCCATTGTACAAGGTCCTCTGCTGATTTCTTGGGATTCAAGAGTGAGGCCAATGGTCTGTATTTCCTCTTCTCACAAAGCTTGTGGACTACTGGAAAATACAGATAGCAGTAAAGCAAACAGATACCTTTAATATGCACTAATAGGTAAAAATTTAGGGAAATTGTGGAAACACATTTGAAGAGCAGCTAACCTGGAGCTGAGGTTCAGGAAAGACATTTGTAAAGGAACTGACCTTGAAACCAGGGCCTGAGAATGAGTGGGCAGTAGCCAGGTTTTAGCAATGAGGAAGGGAGGATTGGAATTAGAATGTGGGCAACAGAGGAAATGTACAGCATGCATTTTATAGAGGACAAACATCTGGATGCAAGAGCAAGAATGGTGTGGTGTAAAAACAGGGGCCAGAAGAACAAGGTCTCATCATGAACAACAGTAAAAGCAGTGTTGAGTAGTTTGACTCTGTCCTCTGGTTTTAGGCTGAGGAGTCTTAAGGTCAGATTTGCAGTTTAGAAAGATTCCATCTATGTTGAAAATAAAGTAGAAAGGGCAGGAGGATGAAGTACTCAGGTACCAGAGAGAGGATGGTGCTCAGGAAGGGTAGAAGCTGTGGGTGAGGATGGACATGGGGGAAAGATGAATGATAGCTGATGCTAAGTGGATGTGTTTTGGTGGAAGGAGATGAAGTGTTAAGTTCACAGTCAGTTTCCTGACCTGAGTTCATTGGTTAACTGTGGTTGTGGTGGTGTCTTCACCTGAATAGGAAATACAGCAGGGGCAGCAAGTTTGGTGTGGAAAAAGAGAGGTCAGTTTTCATATGTGAGTTTCATATGCTAGTGAAAAATCCACCTGGAGATATGGTGTGTTGGGAGCTAGAGACCCAGGTTTATGGGGAGTCATGAGTGTATAGAGATGTGAAGGGAGCTATGAGAGTGTTTATCACCTGGCAGGTGGTGGGAGAACATGGGCTTATAATAGAAAGTGGAGGATTATTGTATTTAAATTATGGCCTGGAGAAGAAGCTCCTAATTTGATTTTCTTAAACATTTCAAGTACCTTCATTCAGCATGCACAATGCTGCATGGCTCTACTTGCTCATTAAAGTACTGCTTCCTTCTTTCCATTATCTCAAATCAAACTCCTGTCTACTTGTCAGATCTGGCATCTTTGTAACAGGATCCATATGAGAAATGCAGGAACACAAGTTTCTGCTTCTAATTCCAGCAATTGAGTAAAATTGCTGTAAAATGCCACTTTTTTTAAAGATTGTATTTATTTATTTTAGAGAGGGGAAAGGAGGAGAAAGAGAGGTAGAGAAACATCAGTGTGTGGTTGCCTCTCACATGCCCCACACTGGGGACCTGGCCTGCAACCCAGGCATGTGCCCTGACTGGGAATCAAACCAGCGACCCTTTGGTTCGTAGGCCAGTGCTCAATCCACTGAGCCACACCAGCTAGGGCCTAAAATGCCACTTTTTAAGAATTGTCCTTTATTCTGTAGTTATTAGCATAAAATGAAGAAGCTCAGTTAAATCTTAAGTTTTTCATTTTGTTTTTCCAGGTGTATAAAATAGAAAACAGAAGCCTGAGTAATAACAATAAAAGCAGGACCGCCTTCTTCAGGGTGTAGAGAGAGGGGTCTTAATACATCACCATTATTTCCAAGTGGACTTTGAAGAGGCTTTACCATTTTGAGAAGCACAATTGGAATTCTGGTCCAATGCTTTTATTTTATGAGAAAACCAAAGGCTGACTTCTTTTAGGGTTAAGTGATTTACCCTTTGTTACTCTGCTGGGCAGAGTAGAGGTGGCACTCTGGGTTATTGAGGTAGAAAAAAAGAGTAGTAGGGAAAAGGGGAAAAAAGTGATGTGCCCCATTGTTCTAGAAGTCAAAGACCAGGCGGTGGCATGTCACACTGACAGTGGGTGCCCCGACATGCTCAGGGCATGTTTTGTTTGGCGCTTTATTAAGTCAACATCTCTTTCTGTTTAAGCTGTTTTGGGGCCAACTGACTCTCAGTGTCATAGTGTCATTAGACATGTCTGTTTCATTTGTCATTTTTTGGTATAATGTCATTTAAATTCATAATTATAGAGTTAGAAAGTTACAGTTAGTAAACAAAAGTTTATCATTACTTTATGAAAACTGAAAATATTTCCCCAAGGCTAAAATTTTAATTGATAAGCTACTTAATGAGGAATTAGAAGACTTGCTTCAATCATGTAATAGCTCACTTCTTTGATTTTACTAAGTCCTTGGCATTATATTGATATTATATATTGATATTAAAAACTCCCATTTTATGGGTAAAGAAACAGTCAAAGGGGGTGATGAAATCTGCTGATACTTTGGCACTAATATGGACTGTTTGGTTTGAGATTCCTGAACCTTCTGAATTCCTAAGTACTTTCATTTCTAGGGTCACTCCCTACCCAATGTTCTGCTCAATTCTCTGTCTGCCTGTACTCACCTTCTCTGAACATTCTCATTCCTGTCCTCCAGTTCAGCACCCTTGCCCCAAATTCCCCCTCTGTAAACCACTTTCCCAAAGTCTTGAGTTGGCCAAAAGTCTGTTTAGTTTTTTTCTGTAAAATATAAGACACCTTTTTCATTTTCAACAATAACTTTACTGACTTGTATATTTTGAGTATGTCAGCTATCTCCTGCTATTGGCTTCTAGTGGATAAAGGCCAGCGGTGCTGCTAAACATCTTCTAATGCATAATACAGTCCCATAGCACAGAATTATTTGGCCAAAATGTCAATAGCTCCAGGAAACTTCGTAAACCACTTTTGACCGTTTGATCAGTCACAGCACCTTCTCCGTATACTGCACAAATCTTTTTGTGCATTTTGGTTATATTTTTACCTTTCTTGAAATAATAAAGCATAAGATGCTGAAAATGTTGTATACTGTCTTCTAACTTCAGTATTAAAATGGCTGCACAAAAATTCACCAATTTTGATAGGTTTTTGTTAATGCACGCTGATAAGACAGCTGTCACAATACAATCTAACAAAATTGTTTCCAATGAAGTTTAAGATAACTAAGCACTACTAAAGCCATCCCATAGAAAAAAAAACTAAATGAACTTTTTGGCCAATCCAGTACATGTGTGTGTAGCATTCTTTACTGAAGGTTGCTTGTGTGGTGGGTTAGGGAGGGGAGGACATAGGAGTGGAGACTGTTACATGACAGCATAGTGAACAACTTCAAAACTGAGTTATATGTACTTTATATAAAATGTTGTGCCAGTGTAAGATATTACTCTTGTTGATGTTTGATGGTAATCAAATAAAAAGAGGGAATCTGCATAGCTGATCAGAATCTACATGGAATTAACATGATGTTCTCCCAGTTAAGTAGCAAAAGAATAAATATTTGACTTTTGTGGTAAATTTATGATTTAGACAATATAGGAATTTCTTTTTGTATCTCTTCTAAAATGAATTCCTTATATTGATAGATTTTAGCAAAGATAATCAAACTCTCCTAATAAGGAAGTACAATAGAGCTGGGGCAGTCAAGGTAAGCTAATAGTTATTTCTTTGTTTCAAGTTATGTAACTGAGATTTCACACACATCAATAAATAAATGCATTGGCAAGTGTGTGCTTTTTTTCTGTTTTACAAAGTGATCTTCTTGCTCCTTAATTTTAGGAAACAGATGTTGATGACAGATATGGAGATTTGGATTCCAGAACAGATTCTGATATTCCAGAAATTCCACCATCCTCAGATAGAACCCCTGAAATCCTCAAGAAAGCTCTGTCTGGTTTATCTTCAAGGTATGATTGCATGAAGATGAATGGGGGCACAAGATAAGGTGTGACATTATCTGGATCCATGTAATAAGTTTTACCAGTTCCAAGTTTGGGGGCTCTGAAAGAGAAGACTTATACTTTTTCATTGTATATTAGACATACATGGTATTAGACGCTTAATGTGTATCCTTTTATTTAATCCTTAAAATTTTGTGAAGTATGAGAAAACCAAATCAGAGAGGTTAACTGGGTGAAGGTTACAGAGCTAGTAAGAAAGGGACCTGGGATTCTTGTTCCAGTATGTCTGATTTCCCAAGCCAGTGATCTGTTTACCAAAACAGATTTCCTTTCCTGGTGTTAGAACATTCTATATCCTTTGTTTCCTTTTTTTTTTAAATGCCATACAGAAATAGGTTTTTTTTTCTTTTAACTGAGTTTAAAATCATTGTCCAAAACTCTACAACCCTTTACCATTTCATATTTGTCCTATATTTTAAAATGTGAAATCACCAACAAATTGAACCTAGTTTTATATTGCCCTCCATTATATACTTTAATAATATAAACTATAACATTTATAGAAGCAATACAAATGTAAGCTTTTATTTAGATTAATATGAAATCTTAAATATTGGTATGGAACAGTTTTTACATCTTTTTTGATGGTGCCATGCAGTAAAAGAAACATTTTACACCATTTCCCAAGAGATGCATGAATGTCTATTTTATTATTTTTAATTGTATTTTATTGATTATGCTATTACAGTTGCCCCAATTTTTCCTCCTTTACCCCCCTCCACCCAGCACTCCCCACTCTCTCAGACAATCCCCCACCTTTGTTCATGTCCATGGGTCATGCATAGTTTCTTTGGCTACTCCATTTACTATACTGTACTTCGTATCCCATGGCTGTTCTGTACCAATTATTTGTACTTCTTAATCCCCTCACCTCTTTACCCATTCTCCCCTTTCCTCCTCCTGTCTGGCAACCATCAAAACACTCTCTGTATCCATGATTCTCTTTCTGTTCTTCTTGTTTGCTTAGTTTGTTTTTTTAGATTCAATTGTTGATAGATATATATTTATTGCCAGTTTCTTATTCATAGTTTTGATCTTCTTTTTCTTAATTAGACACTTTAACATTTCACATAATAATGGTTTGGTGATGATGAACTCCTTTAGTTTTTTCTTGTCTGGGAAGCTCTTTGCCTTTTGATTCTACATGATAGCTTTACAGGGTAGAGCATTCTTAGCCTTAGGTCCCTGCTGTCCATGACGTTCACTATTTCTTACCAATCCCTTCTACCCTGCAAAGTTTATTTTGAGAACTCATCTGACAGTCTTATGGGGATGCCCCTATAGGTAACTAACTGCTTTTCTCTAGCTTCTTTTAAGATTATCTCTTGATCTTTAACCTTTGGCATTTTAATTATGATGTACCTTGGAGTGGGCCTCTTTGCATCCATTTTGTTTGGGACTCTGTGCTTCCTGGACTTGCATTCTATTTCTCTCACCAATTAGGGAAGTTTTTTCATTATTTTTTTCAAATAGATTTCCAATTTCTTACTCATTCTCTTTTACTAATGGCACCCATATGATGTGAATGTTGGGATACTTGAAGTTGTCTCAGAAACTGCTTACACTATCCTCATTTTTTTGGATTCTTTTTTCTTCTTTTGTTCTGATTGGCTGTTTTTTGTTTCCTTATGTTCCAAATCATTGATTTGATTCTTGGCTTCATCCACTCTACTGTTGATTCCCTGTAAATTGTTCTTTATTTATTAGTGTATCTTTCATTTCTGACTGAATCTTTTTTATGCAGTTGAGTTCCCCACTAATTTCCTTGTGCATCCCAATAACCAGTGTTTTCAACTCTGCATCTGATAGATCACTTATCTCCATTTTGTTTAGTTCTTTTTCTGGAGTTTTGATCTGTTCTTTCATTTGGGCCATATTCCTTTGTCTCCCCATTTTGGCAGCCTCCCTCTGTTTGTTTCTATGTATTCTATAAAACTTCTGTGACACCCTGTCTTGGTGGTCTAATGTAGTAGGTACCCTGTACGGTCCAGTAGCACAGCTCCCCTATCACCCAAGTGGGCTGAATATACCCTCATTTTGTAGTTGAAGCTTGATTACTGTTGGCAGGTCAATGGGAGGAATTACCCAGGCCAGTCAGCTGCAGTGACTAGCTGTAACCATTGACTCCCAACTTCTGTGGTGGATCAGCTGTGCAGGGTCAGGGTGGTGGTGCTCTGATGTGGTCTGTAGCTGTCCACTGGTGCAGAGGATCTGGGGTTTCCTGGATGGTGCAGGCCAACATCAACCCCCACTTCTGTCTGCTCAGGGCTACCCTGCATGAGCTATAAAACAATCTGCAGCTAGCTGCTACTTGTGCTGGGCTTGGAGGTTCCCAGCTGAATCCAAGATGTGAGCATAGGTTGGCTGCTGCTAGTGTCGGGCCTAGGGTCACTTAGCAAGGGATATGAGCACTGAGTGCTCACTGAGACCAGCTGTTGCTTGTTTGAGGGGTTTTAGGAAGTTATGAAGCATAAGCCGAAACCAGCCTTGTATATGGAAAAGCCACTATTAACAGCTTTGGTGGGCACATAACTTGAATGGGATAGAACATCAGGGCATCTCCAGGGTGGGGCAAACAGTGTTAGCCAGGTTGATGGAGTCTCAGATATGGCACCACCTACCTGCTGGCTCTGTGGCTCTGTCGGGGAGGGTCAGAAAAGAAGCAATGGCATCTGCCCACCATTCTGTTAGGGAGAAAGCTGTCCCCCAGGTCTCTCCTTTATGTCAGACACTCTAGTTCCTCCCTGTATGCTACTGGTGCCTTTTAAGCTGCTTCCCTGGTGCTGGAGCTCAGAGGGAGTAAGCCTGAGTAAGTCTATGTGTGGATTCTTTAAGAGGAACTGCTTGGGACCCCAGAAGTTTCTTCCACTGATTCAATCACTGCTGGTGTTTTGCAGCCAGAAGTTACGGGGATCTATCTTCCTGGCAGTGGAACCCAGGGCTGGGAGACCTTGTGTGCAGCTGGTACTCCTGGTTCCCAAGATATCCCTCCCAAATTTTTGTCCACTACACATGGGTGTGGGACCAGCCCATTCTGCCTTTTCAACCCTCCTACCAGTCTGGATGGATGTGGTATCTTTAATTCCATAGTTGGACATCCATTCATCTCAATTTCTGATGGTTCTGAGTGATGGTTGTTCTTAGTTTACTTGTAATTTTGATGTGTTTGTATGAGGAAGCAAGCTGTGTTTACCTGTGTCACCATCTTGACTAGAAGTCCACAAATGTATGTATTAATTGCTGCAAAAATGTTATGAAGCAATTCTTGCCATTACTATGTGATGTCCCTTAATTTCTTTGCTGTTTGATATTATTGTTATTGAACAAAATATGTTGGATGTAACTTACTAAATTGGTTTTTACTACCCCTGAGTCATAACGAAAAAGATGGTTTACTCATATCTACTGAGTATGAGTTTCAGTATGAGTAATATGAGTTTTTCTATTTTTAACTTCTAGGAGATAACTATATTAGAATTAATTCCTTCAATGCAAAATTTCTATAGTTTTTTAACCAATAGAACACATTTTGTGTCCATTATTAAAAGCATGATTATTTTAATAGTCTTGATCCCAGTTGTTTTCATGACCTAATTGACAACTGTATCTTTGCATTAAAATCTTATCAGGTCTATCTCAGTGAAAATTTCTTATATATATTTATATTAAAATGATGCTGGATTCCTATGTTTCCTTAATAATCATTCCTTCTTTATACAATTATATTTTTAATAATGTTTTATTATTTATGCTGTTATAATTTTTCCAATTTTTCTCTCTTTACCCACTTGGCACAGCCCACCCCCAACTTCTATACTCCACCCCCACACCGTTGTCCGTCTCCATGGGTTCTTCATATAAGTTTTTTGATTAATCCCTTCTCCTAAATTCAAACAGTCCCTATATCCCTCCTTCCCTCCTATCACTGTTAGTCTATTACATGATTCTACGCCTTTGGTTATATTTTGCTCACTAGATTTCTCTTATAAGTGAGATCATATGGTATTTGTCTTTCACCAACTGGCTTATTTCACTTAGCATAATGTTCCAGTTCCATCCATGCTGTCACAAAAAGGAATTCCTTTTTTCTGTTGTATAGTATTCCACTGGGTAAATGTACTACAGTTTTTCAATCCACTCATCTGCTTATGGGCAATTAGGCTCTTTCTGAAGCCCTCCTTTCTGCATGTAAAGTAACAAAAGCAAATAACATCAACTGATATTTATTGAGCATATGCTCTGTGCTGTGCATTGCTCCAGGCCCTGTGCATGTATGGACTAACTTATCCTCACAGCAACCCTGTAACACAGATATAGTTACATACATATTTTAAAAATGAAAAAAGCAAGGCACAGAAAACTTATATATCAAGAGGCATGTAGCTATTAAACAATAGAACCACATTCTGAACCTAGACATTGTGCTCTATTTATAAAAGAATTCATTTTTCAAATTTAACAATAGATGGTATGTGACTGCTTTCAATCTTCTCATGAAAATTCATTATAAAGACTACATGAATGTTTCAAAATGTGTATCTTACTCATTTTAGGCTCTTTATTACCTCAAATAATCTGCCTTGCAGTGATGTAGGAGTTGTAGATACATAAGATTAAAAGTACTCGGCAAGATGGAGGCATAGGTGGACGCACCGTACCTCCACGCACAACCAAGATTAGAACAACAACAAGTTAGAAGCAGAATAACACCCAGAACTGACAGAGAATTTATCTGAATGGAAGTCGGACAGCCAAGAAGTTGAAGTAGACCCGTTCATCCAGACAGGTAGGAGGAGCGGAGACGAGCGCCAGCCGCAGCACGTGGAGTGCGGGGAGAGCTGGGCACCTAAGGCAACCAGGAGCGAGTAAACCATCTGGGGCACGCAGCGGGTGGACCCTGAGTACCAAAGCGGCAACTGGCGGACCCAGTGAGGCTGCGATTGAGG